CCGTCCTGTTCCTCCTCGCCCCGCCCCGCCCCGTCTGTGCGCGCCACCGCTCTTTGTAGCAGATTAAAATTGCGCGGCGCCGCACCGGGCGGCGGGAAAGCCGCCATCTCGCAAATTGGCAACAAAGGTCCTCCACAGACAGCTGCCGCACGCACGCGCGCCGGCAGCGACGGCGGCGGCGGCCGCCAAGTCCCACCCGGCGCGGAACGCCGCCATGGAGGAGAGGACGTTGTTATAAGCATCGCTGTGAAGGAGCGCCAAGACAACAGCTTTGATGAATTAGTGTAAATCGCGCTTCTGCCACTTCATTGTGTCGCGAAGAGCCAAAGAGCCTACTGCTGTAGAGGCCCAAGTCCACTGTGGTGCTGCTGTTTAACACGGGAACAGCGACGCTTACACGGGATCTCGGGGCTACAGCTTGTGGTCTTTCCATGCCGAATTTGTTTTCCGTTTTTTTAACTTTTAACCATTTACTCACTTTTCGCCTTGACTACACTTTTTCCTATGCTTGCGCATTATATAATCGACTTCTTTTCAATATCGACTCTTGTCAACTATTGTCGATAATAACGTCGAATGTGAGGATCAATATACGTGGCAAGGATAAGAAGTTATCGGGCCTAGGCAGAAAAAAAATTGGTCTGTCATGTTCTTTGCCGACATCTTCCTCCTCATAGAAACAATTTCCCCACGCTTGGTGAAGGAATTTTTACACAGCCTGAAACGGCATTCACACTATCAGGTGCACTGTACACGAGTCGAAATCTCCAAAAACAAACTATTCAATTCTGTTAAAACTTGTAACATTGAAATCTGAGTACTGAATGTTAAATCTTGATGAAAGTTACATTCAAGGTGTAGTAGAAAAAAATGTTTCTAGTGTTCCCACGAAGCATAAATTCGTATATGAATACTCTTCCACAGAAATGTTTCTCTTTCCTAATTGAATCGTTTTTTTCTTGAGATGTGTCAGTATTCATTATTGCATGACTGATCCATCTGCACTTCTATTTCAAAGATTAATTATGTTTTAAAGAAAAACTTAGGCCTGAAGACAGCGAAGAAACTTAGCTGAAACGTTACCGACTTTCAGCTTGTAATGAAGAATTAAAAACAGAATAAGTATCTTTTATACAAACTGAATCTTTTTCATTTAAGAAGGAACTGTTTGTTTATTAATAGTTAAATAGACGTTTATAAGAAGAGAAAAGGTTTTATATTTTATTACACTCCACTAATCTCAGTGACAGCATTTAAACAATTTCCTGCCAACTACAGGGCCCAAGCGACAAAAGCGTTTATTAACGCTAACTTTTGAGAAGCTGAACGTTCTTTTCATTGGAAGCACGTTATATCTTTCCCAGAAGGCCAGTGCCAGAAAATATTTATCGAAGTGATGAATCTTGTTGGCGACCAAAAACAGAGACGAGGGAAGCAAGAAAACTTGTCCTTGCCATTAGCTGTGTTAAAATCTCCGTGAATGGAGCTTTTGAGACTATCTCGACCGGTGGTTTCAGAAGAGCGAGTGTCACTGCAGATTTACGCAACATTGCCTTCCTAATTTATAAGTTTTTATTAAAATACCATTGCTAATAATTTGCCAGATTCAATAAATTGAGAATTAATTAGTGATCAAGTGAAAGTGAGAAAGAGCATGTAAATAATTCATTAATTTAACTCGCTATTTTTAACTTCTTACAGATACCCCCAAATCAGAATGAGAGGTTTTTTTTAGTGTAGATGGACTGATATACTATGAAGTATGGCGTGTAGCATTGATGTACTACACCATTCTACGAAGTATTAACCTCATGATAACATTTTTTGTTTCGTTTTTGTTTATATTTATATTTTGGTTCAATACGCGTTAGGGGGTAAAGGGTTCTCTTTCAGAAAGTAAATTTTATGGATCATAACTGCAACCATACCAAGAACAGCCTCTGGATTCGGTTGCAAACTGACGGGGGGGGGGGAGGTTGGCGGTGCTCGCTCCCCCTGCCGAGTTCTGTCTCCTGCTTTCCCTTTGCCAGGGGTACTTATTAGGTGCCTTATTTATGATTTCTACTTCCTGACGTGTTTAATTGAGGAACTCCAAATGTCAGAAATCGGACAAGAAAACAATCGAGAACATTATTAGGATTCATTCAAACTGAGATGTCTTCGTTTAACGCCACTCTTCGATTTGCTCCCGCCCTTGAGCGTTGAATTCTTCCTCCACCTCTAGGGAATTCCTCCGGAGAAAATTCCCGGTTCGCTCTCTGCTCTGGGTTCAAATCTGAAGAATCCAGGGCTTAATCGTTCCCATTCTTGGGACCAACAGTCCAGCGACCTTGTATGGCTCAGGGCGTCAATTGATGCCACTGCAATGCCTCTGACAGGGAGCTCCTAGGGTTCGGATCCCGGGTGGCAGGATTTTCGACACTGGCTTGGTCGAATTCAGTTAGTTTTCAATGGGTTCTCCAATCAACACCAGGTGAATACTAGGGCAGTACCCTAAAAACGGGCCACGGGCCGCGCGCGATCTTTCCTTCCTCTTGTACTTGTCCTAACCTCACTTCTTACTTACACGCACGCACACACAGAAACACACACACACTTACATGCACTACACTACCACACATGCCGGGAGACCGATCGGGAACTTAGAGCTTGTCCCGGTAGGGGCGGTGCCCCGCTGGTGGGAGATACCTGGTTGGGGAAACCCCCTCAAGCCTACATATAGGATCTCGCCATTCAGCGGGTGAAGATCACCGTCACCTCATGCGATAAAAAAATGCTCTGGATGCACTTGTGGAATGGCCTTAGTAGTTGACGCACCCCGAATCACTACAATACCGGCAGCGTAGTAGCACCTCTGACGGTTCAATGCGCTGTTGCCACATAATACTATGCACATGGCCTCACCTACATCACAGATCAATTAAATCTAAAATCATTCTGACAGGCTATGACACTCTGACGCTTTCTGACAGGCTATGACACGTAATATCATGTTCATAACTTTTGCCAAAGCCCAACCTTATCGCCTCAGCGACATTATGTGAGTTAGATGAGCGGTAACGCTGAACCTTGGTTTGTTAGAAAGTAAACAAATCCTCGCAAGCTGATTGCTTCGGAGCAGGTCACATGACGCACCTCAGCACGTGGCGAGAAAACTGTCAGAGTCGCTCATACGCTGCAGATTTTGTACTACTGCTGCAATCAATGAATCCAGCGAGCGGGGGCGCCATGTGTTGCAGGTGGAAGCGGAGAGCCGCAAGAACGAGTTCGCGCGCCTTCTTGAGGAGCACGCGCAGGTGATTCAGCAGCTGAAGCAGATGGAGCACGACCCGGCTCCCGCCCCTGCCTCCGCCTCCGCTCCCGC